CCTCAGAGTGTGCCACCGTACCGGTATCCCGGTGGGCCAGTCCGGCCCTGCTGACAGACAATCTCACTGACACACACAGACAAGCTTACTGGTACACACACACAAACTTAGTACAAACTCTGACATTCATACAAGGTTACTACAGACAAACTCATTGGTATACAAACACGAACTTACTACAGACAAGCTTAATGTCACACACACAGGCTCACTACAGACAAACTCACTGACACACACATGTTCACTACAGACAAGCTCTCTGACACACACAAACACAAGCTCACTGACACACACACATGCTCACTACAGAAAAGCTCGCTGACACAGATGCTCACTACAGACAAACTCACTGACACACATACACGCTCACAACAGAAAAGCTCACTGACACACACAAGCTCACTGACACATATACACATGCTCATTACAGATTCCGGAATCCCCATGGGAAAGAATTGAATAATGCTTTCCTATGGGGAGGTCTAATGCATGCACATGCACATTTAGTCTCCTCCACTGGCTGATGTCGGTGGGGGAGGAGCGTGGGTGGAGCCCGACTCAGCGCCGAGGGACATTGGCGCTGGATTCAGATAAGTCGCTAAAGGGGTGTGGGGTGGCAGGGAGGGGGGCACTGCAGGATTCTGCAGTGCCAGGAAAACTGATTTGTTTTCCTGGCACTGTAGAGTCCCTTTAATATGAATAAAATCTAAAAAAAAAAAAAAAGTGCGAGAAAGACATTTTGTTATTTTCCAAATTGACCAGTAGTGAAAGAGATTTAAAAAATATATATATATATATTTTTTTTTTAAACTTGCTTTTATCATTTGGGACACTGTAAATCTGTGATCTCTCTGCCTCTCTTGTCTTAGAACAAAGCGAGGAAAGAGAGGGACAGAGAACAATGTGCAGTTAGATTGTGGTGACACGCTTTAAATGTGTCAAGATGGTTGTCTCATGCAGTTAAACGAAATAAAAAAAGGTAAATTGTCATGATTCCACCTACACCGTTGGACTTTACTTAGAGTTTGAGTTAGACATTACTGGATTTCAAAAGTCCGCTATTCTTTCATTCTCTATATCTAACTTTCCACAAACATTTTTGAAAGCATATCCAGCCTCCTCAAGGTAACTGCTATTACCAGCTGAATACTTTTTTCATCGCCAATCTCAGTTTGGATGAGTGTAAGTGCCTAATCCATAAATAGTTTATTCCCCCCTCCTATCTCTCATTTTAGCTTTCAATAAAATGTTATATAAATTATAGGGTGTATTTCTGCATTTAAATGCACATCAGGCAAAGCTTCATAATTTCTTAGAGTGTTTTCTTCATCTACGCATTGCTGACGCGTTAAACAAGCAGCAATAGTTCAATGAATGCCCCTAGAACAAATATCACCAGATTAATTTAAGTGTCAACAAACACTATGATGGTTTAGTAAGTAATCTCTGAAGCATGTTGCTGTCTGAGGCCATTTTTTCGACATACATTTATTTCACACGGGTGCCCTCTAGTGGAAACACGAGTTCATAACTTTTGTTTTCCTTCCTATTACAGAGTAGAATATTATATTACAGCACAGTTTTGATACACAATGTATTCGCTAAACTACTTCTGCAGCTCAGAGATATATGTTGAATATTCGCTATATTCGCTAAGCTCCACATTTGTGGAGAAAATGAAAAAAATCAAAATTAAAGTTCGCTAAATTGATAACCCTCTTACTTGCCCTGAGTTAGCTGAATTGCAGCTGAAGCTTTGAATAATTCAAATTGTTTTAGAAAGCTATCCCTTATGCACCCAATAAACGTGGGAATTTCTAAGAAATTCATTATTAAACAATCTGGTCTTTTTAGCAAGTTTTGAACTAGCATATTTGGGGCTAATTTCTAAAAATGTGTTTCTCAATTGCCTTTAAATGAAAGTCTGAATTAAATGGCTTAGTGAAAAAGAAAACACAGCGAGAAATTATTTTATATAAATATTGTTTTGTATTTGTTATACCTTATTCATTTTAGTTTTCAAGATGTTTAATATTTTTATATAGTATACATATTACCAGGATAAGACTTTATCTTCTTTAACCCCTTAAGGACCAAACTTCTGGAATAAAAGGGAATCGTGACATGTCAGACATGTCATGTGTCCTTAAGGGGTTAAAGGGTCACACTCTGCAAATTAAACCGTTTTATAAAACATCGAAAATCACCTGTGTTTTAATGCGTCATTTCCTTTTAAATATATAGCGGTATTAAATATTTAGCAAATTACAACAAAATCTAATTTAGTACAGACAGATCCAGGGCACACACTGCAATTTAATAATAATTGACAGGGAGATAAAGATGGTGGCGCCCAGTTGCAGAAAAAACAAAGTGTATTTTAATATTTCATTTTATTTTTCACACCTCCCAAATATATATTTGTTAAAAATAAGGAATAAGTAAACATAAGAAAATAAGAAATAGAACCAAAGAACAGATAAAGCTCTAAAGCAAAAAGCTGTCACCCTCTAGGTACACTCTAAAAACCTATAATAAACATAAATGGAAAAAGAAAGGAAGGTGGAATGAAATCCCACCTAATGGGGGCGCTAAGCACTAGAGAAAATGATAGTCTAATGGAAGACTATAAATGTAAAAGAGTAAATACTCTACGGAGACTTCGAAAAATAGATAGTATAAAAATACAATTTATTTTGCATCACAGTGCAATAAATATATAAAAAAGGGAGTAAATAGTAAAGTGCATAAACATCCAATGTAAATATGGTAACAATATACACTCCTATTATGAGACCTGGGAACAAAAACCCGGCATCAACCACTAAACAAAACAGTAATAGGTATAAAGATGAACTGAACAGCCCTTGGTCGCGACTTCCAGGGCTGAAAAAATACTTGCAAACTCGATCGGTAGTGGTGATATTGTGGTCTCTGGACTTAGATTGGATGATAGATGAGGCTCAACGCGTTTCGTCCCGCTTTGTTCAGGACTTCCTCAGGAGCTGTGTATATCTTCAGTTCTTCCGGAGTCTTCTTTTATCTTCAAATTTTCGCGCTCAATTAAGTCATTGCGCATGCGCAAAAGGACACCGGCTTCCGTCGAGATTGTTGCCGGAACACAACTTCAATGCGCCCGCCTCCAATCACTATCGGGAAATGACCAATGCGCATGCGTAGCCAAATTGATGCGTGTTGAAACTTTATTAGCATCCGAATGGAGAGACACGTTGAAACATATAAGCTACATAAGTAGCAGTTGCATGTGTCAATCTATTCGTAACAATGGATGCTTACAGGCAGAATGATATAACCTAAGCATGCCACAAACTGAACATATGTATGAAAAAAATAATCAGATATATAAAAAAATCTAATAATTAGCTCTAAAAAATAAAATTTAGCAAAAGACTCAAAAAAATATAATTTAAAATTTAAAAATGTTGTATGTGTCAATCAATTATGTGGCAAACCTTACAATCTAGAGTCCAAAGATGGACAGAAATATTACCTCACCATTGGAATATATATAATAGGTGAGAAATCATTCATAATAATCTGAATATCATATCCATAAATTGATAGTTCTATAACACTAGAAAATTATATATTATAAACAGTAGATATCACATAAAAGCTAGAATATCTAGATCTGTATTCAGACCTAGTGGAGTGGAAGATTTCATTTTGTAGATCCATTCGGTCTCTTTTTTGGCTAGTGCTTTGGTGGTGTCACCACCACGCCAATGTGGAACAACCAAGTCGATACCTAAACACACAAAACTGTTAAAGACAAAAGTGGAACATTGGTTACAGTGTCGAGGTACATTGTGTTTGTCACTTTTTTTCTTTATACCATAAAAATGTTCTCTTAATCTCTCATGTAATTTGCGAATAGTGCGGCCTATGTACTGCATTCCACATGCACATTCCAACAGATACACTACATTTCTACTACTACAGGTAATAAAATGTTTAATTTCAAAGGTTTCACCTGTAACTGAACTTCTAAAATTAGTCATAGTTCTTTTTTGGTATTTACAAGTGCTACAATTTCCACATTTGAAAAAGCCATTAGGTTTCTTTATTAAAAAATCTTTATTATTATTTTCACTCTTTAAAACCATTTTTGGAAGAACACTAGGAGCTAAAATCGTTTTTAGGTTGTCAGTCTTTTTGTAGACGATCTTTGGTTTTTTAGGCAATATTTTTTGTAGATGTATATCCTGCAATAAAATTGGCCAATATTTCCTAAACACTTTCTCAATTTTATTTGCTTTGTTGTTGTATTTTGTTGTAAAGGCCATATTGTATGCATTAGTATCTAATTTAGTTGTCTCTGATTTTATCCGTAAAATTTCTTCTCTTTTGTTGTCCTCAATATCTTGTAGACTTTTTGTTAGTAATTCTTTAGGGTAATTTCTATCTATGAATCTTTTATTCAAAATTTTAACCTGACTTGTAAAATCCACTTTGTTAGTACAGTTTTTAAAAAGTCTCATTTGTTGGCTCTTAGGGATATTTTTTAGCCAAATGGGATTATGACAACTAGAAAAATCTATATGGCTATTGCAATCTGTGGGTTTGAAAAAAGTTTTGCTACATATCAAATTCTTATCGACAAAAAAAGTTAGGTCTAGAAAATTGATTTGACTATCTCCCACTTCCTGTGTGAAAACCAAGCCATAATTGTTTGAATTTACATAGCTTATAAAGTTATTAAAGATAGACTTATCGCCCTTCCAAATAATTAGTACATCATCTATGTACCTTTTCCATAGTACCAGGTTTGCCCCAAATGGGTTATTATCCCAAATGCAACGTTCTTCCCAATTAGCTACAAAAATATTTGCATAGCTAGGGGCAAACCTGGTGCCCATGGCGGTACCACAGATTTGAAGATAATGCATTCCCTCAAACCAAAAAGAGTTTCTATGTAAAATAAAATCAATACACCTTAAAATAAATTCCATTTGTTTTTTTGACATGTTTATATCCTTATCTAGAGTTTCTTTTATGGCTCTTATTCCTTTTATGGTCATTGACCATGTAAAAGGAATAAGAGCCATAAAAGAAACTCTAGATAAGGATATAAACATGTCAAAAAAACAAATGGAATTTATTTTAAGGTGTATTGATTTTATTTTACATAGAAACTCTTTTTGGTTTGAGGGAATGCATTATCTTCAAATCTGTGGTACCGCCATGGGCACCAGGTTTGCCCCTAGCTATGCAAATATTTTTGTAGCTAATTGGGAAGAACGTTGCATTTGGGATAATAACCCATTTGGGGCAAACCTGGTACTATGGAAAAGGTACATAGATGATGTACTAATTATTTGGAAGGGCGATAAGTCTATCTTTAATAACTTTATAAGCTATGTAAATTCAAACAATTATGGCTTGGTTTTCACACAGGAAGTGGGAGATAGTCAAATCAATTTTCTAGACCTAACTTTTTTTGTCGATAAGAATTTGATATGTAGCAAAACTTTTTTCAAACCCACAGATTGCAATAGCCATATAGATTTTTCTAGTTGTCATAATCCCATTTGGCTAAAAAATATCCCTAAGAGCCAACAAATGAGACTTTTTAAAAACTGTACTAACAAAGTGGATTTTACAAGTCAGGTTAAAATTTTGAATAAAAGATTCATAGATAGAAATTACCCTAAAGAATTACTAACAAAAAGTCTACAAGATATTGAGGACAACAAAAGAGAAGAAATTTTACGGATAAAATCAGAGACAACTAAATTAGATACTAATGCATACAATATGGCCTTTACAACAAAATACAACAACAAAGCAAATAAAATTGAGAAAGTGTTTAGGAAATATTGGCCAATTTTATTGCAGGATATACATCTACAAAAATATTGCCTAAAAAACCAAAGATCGTCTACAAAAAGACTGACAACCTAAAAACGATTTTAGCTCCTAGTGTTCTTCCAAAAATGGTTTTAAAGAGTGAAAATAATAATAAAGATTTTTTAATAAAGAAACCTAATGGCTTTTTCAAATGTGGAAATTGTAGCACTTGTAAATACCAAAAAAGAACTACGACTAATTTTAGAAGTTCAGTTACAGGTGAAACCTTTGAAATTAAACATTTTATTACCTGTAGTAGTAGAAATGTAGTGTATCTGTTGGAATGTGCATGTGGAATGCAGTACATAGGCCGCACTATTCGCAAATTACATGAGAGATTAAGAGAACATTTTTATGGTATAAAGAAAAAAAGTGACAAACACAATGTACCTCGACACTGTAACCAATGTTCCACTTTTGTCTTTAACAGTTTTGTGTGTTTAGGTATCGACTTGGTTGTTCCACATTGGCGTGGTGGTGACACCACCAAAGCACTAGCCAAAAAAGAGACCGAATGGATCTACAAAATGAAATCTTCCACTCCACTAGGTCTGAATACAGATCTAGATATTCTAGCTTTTATGTGATATCTACTGTTTATAATATATAATTTTCTAGTGTTATAGAACTATCAATTTATGGATATGATATTCAGATTATTATGAATGATTTCTCACCTATTATATATATTCCAATGGTGAGGTAATATTTCTGTCCATCTTTGGACTCTAGATTGTAAGGTTTGCCACATAATTGATTGACACATACAACATTTTTAAATTTTAAATTATATTTTTTTGAGTCTTTTGCTAAATTTTATTTTTTAGAGCTAATTATTAGATTTTTTTATATATCTGATTATTTTTTTCATACATATGTTCAGTTTGTGGCATGCTTAGGTTATATCATTCTGCCTGTAAGCATCCATTGTTACGAATAGATTGACACATGCAACTGCTACTTATGTAGCTTATATGTTTCAACGTGTCTCTCCATTCGGATGCTAATAAAGTTTCAACACGCATCAATTTGGCTACGCATGCGCATTGGTCATTTCCCGATAGTGATTGGAGGCGGGCGCATTGAAGTTGTGTTCCGGCAACAATCTCGACGGAAGCCGGTGTCCTTTTGCGCATGCGCAATGACTTAATTGAGCGCGAAAATTTGAAGATAAAAGAAGACTCCGGAAGAACTGAAGATATACACAGCTCCTGAGGAAGTCCTGAACAAAGCGGGACGAAACGCGTTGAGCCTCATCTATCATCCAATCTAAGTCCAGAGACCACAATATCACCACTACCGATCGAGTTTGCAAGTATTTTTTCAGCCCTGGAAGTCGCGACCAAGGGCTGTTCAGTTCATCTTTATACCTATTACTGTTTTGTTTAGTGGTTGATGCCGGGTTTTTGTTCCCAGGTCTCATAATAGGACTGTATATTGTTACCATATTTACATTGGATGTTTATGCACTTTACTATTTACTCCCTTTTTTATATATTTATTGCACTGTGATGCAAAATAAATTGTATTTTTATACTATCTATTTTTCGAAGTCTCCGTAGAGTATTTACTCTTTTACATTTATAGTCTTCCATTAGACTATCATTTTCTCTAGTGCTTAGCGCCCCCATTAGGTGGGATTTCATTCCACCTTCCTTTCTTTTTCCATAAGTAAACATAACATTAAAAATCCTTGGAAGCGACAGTTGCCCTTTTGTGTAGTTTCTTTTACGTCTGCCTGGCTATTCAGGGTTATTCCTCTTTATTTATTATTAAGAAATAAATACAAACAAACAAACAAACAAACAAAAAGTAGAGTCAGCAGATGTACTATTGGTAGCTTAGTAAATAAAGCAATGCTTCTTATTATAAAAGGAAGCTCTGGATCCGCTCTGCAGGATATTTTTGCTGACTCCGTGAGTGTCATGAGCAAGTGATTTGTTGTGATGTGATTACCTGGAGGAAAACTGCCAATAGTTAACTTTTCAATGTTGGCAAATATCTGGAGTGTGCAGCTGTTAAAATTGAAATTAATCAGAGATGTTGCTCTTCTTTCACTGTAGACGTTTGGGGGACAAGAGAAAAGTAGATTTCTGGGGCTATTTTGTCCCTTGAAGGATAAATGAGATGGCTTATTTTTTCATATAATTTTTTTTATAAATTTCTATATTCTGAGTACAAGTGCCAATTAACTATCTTAGCCAAAAAAGAAAAAATAATTCCATCAAAGGGCCCAACAAAGAGTAACGCTAGAGACCACTGCACCACTCACCCCTCCCAAATGACAGTTCTGAACGTATTATGGTTTTAAATGTATCTTGATTAATGTTTTTTTTAGAAAATGTCCATATGACTTAGATATGATCAATCAACCCACCAGTTCAAGCATTTTGCTTCCTTTTGAATGACACACGTGCATATTGCTGAACAGCCCTGATGGGGCAATTAACGTGATTAAGTAACAGGCAATTTATTTGCAAAACTGGGAATTTTGGATATTTGAAAAGCTGATTGTCACTTACAAGCTCACTTATTTTTGTCAGCTAAAGTATGTCTGGTCTGACGTTACAGATTCATGGTCAAATTTCCATATTCCCTGTTTTTGTTGATAAACTCTTTTGTGATTTTCAATCCAAGGACAGAGGTCAATAATTTGCATTTACAACCTTGACATGTTAATTGTTTTACATGGAAATGCCTGAATTAAGGAGATGCTTGGAACTTGCAATTTCCTAGCTACAGATATAATCGTTTTAAATGGTAAATGCAACACAACTAATCTGATCCATAAAAAAAAAAACACGAAAAAAACAAGGGCTGCTAGAAGTTTATAATGATGACATTTTGTGGGCAGTGTAGGTGACTGTAATTTTAAGCATACATCTTCCTTGACAAGGTCAGAGAAAAAGTTTTGAAAGCATTACAGAAATCCATTCTGCCCAATATATGGCATATGGCATTGTAGCTGTTACAGCTCGGTGCCAAAAGTCAAGTTACAGAGAAAACTGGAAACAGCTCTACAAGGTCACCGAACAAGCAATGTTATATATCACGTTTATGGTATGTTTCCTACAGAAAATCAATTAAAATTATAGAAAGTGTGAATCATAAATGTCTTAGATCTCGCACAAAGTTATCTGGCTGTCCTTCCGTGAAAGACTTAGGGTATAAGTATTGCAATGCACTACTGCACACAACAGAACCCTCCCTAAAAAAAAAGATAAAACAATGTAATTTTGACAAAATTCAAGCTGTTTTGATGTTGTTACATAGGGCAGGCTGATTTAGTATTATATCACTTGAAGAATACAGGGTCAAAGAAGAAACAGAACAATGTTGATACTAGAATTCTATTTTGATCTTTTAAGAACCAAGAGGAACAAGAAAATGAGATGACATGTATTTACAAAAATGAAAATGAGAAAGCAAAATACATAACATATAGTCAAAGTCAAACCGGTAAAAAGGTAAGCATAAAGCAGTAACAAACAAAATAAATAAAATCAAACCAGTAGACATAACATGTCTGAAAAGAAAATTGCAGGATAAATAGATGAGAGTGGAAAACAAGTATAAAAAGAGATATGCATAAAGTGTTGCCTTAACGAATGTGAGGGTCAAAGCCACACCACCCCAAGCACCTAGCACACAGTAACAACTAAGGATCCACCATCATGGAATATTTCTTTGAAATTTCAGTTCTCAGAGGGAGAGAGAGAAAATGTACAAAACACACATGGGCATCGGTAAATGCTCACGTGACCTCTCAAGATTATTTGTTTATTATATATTTATTGTTTATTAGTAAGTCATCTGGAGTGCTGAAGGTTGCCTACCCCTGACATAGGCCTTAAATTCCTGAATAAAGAGGTAATAGGGGGCTGGTCATTGATGCAGAATGCATCACTGGTGCAACCCAAAGTGACAGACCAGCCCAGAAAGTTGGCAATTCCGCCCCAAATATTGGCAGGTCAGCCTGGTATGAATGCAAACCAGGCTGCCTGCCAAACATAAAATATTAAAAGAAGACTTTGTCTTCTTTTAATATTTTATGTGGCGCAGCCTTTCTTATCTGTTACTTTTATTTATCTTGTTTTAAAGGGTTTTTGAGGGATCCCCCTTTTAAGGTTGCTGCCTATAAGTTGACCAGCGCTGTCTCATCCATTTACCATTGCCTGCCAAACATGCAGGCCAGCCGACTGAGGGTGGATCATG